CCCATACAATGTTTTCGAACCGTATAAATGGCTGCATATACGTGGTGCAATATACGTGGTACCATCTAGAAGGTGTCTTCTACGTGGTGGGATCGATGTTGCGCAATCTATGTGGAGCTATATATATATACACACGTGATACAATAGATGATCGCTTTTCTGGTCAATGCTTCGCTTGAGGCTTCTGCAGAGGCACCGCGATTTACTGAAGACCACGGCGGATCAAGACGATTCAAAATTACACGTTCTCTGATTGATCAAACACTCAGGCATTCCACTAAATGTTCTGGGATAGCCTTGAGCAGGTGGACACCGCTTGAAAAAACAAAAGCGACAGGCGATACGCTATTCATTCCCGTGCATCATTTCCATGATCGTTTTTTCTTGTCTATATCTTGCTTGAGGTTTCACAAGGCATCTGCTGGGGCACTGCTATTTAGTGCAGGCCGCGGCAATCAAGAATATTCGAAAACACCGCACCTCAACCCTTCAAATCTGACACCCGCCCCAAGCATTGCATCAATACGTTGCGTTGCTGGAACAGACGCCAAATTCTAATCCAAGTCTTTCGTTTGCCACCTTGATGAAGGGTGGAGGCGAGGAAGGAGCACAGAAGGGCGGAGTTGGCACTCGTCCGCTTGGTGAGAAACTGCCCTCGATCCTTGCCAGCTAGATCATGGTGACTTCCCGGAGAAAACGCAAATCCCCTGGGGCCCTCGCCACTGGAACCTTCTGAGGCCAGGCTCAGGACGGCAGCGCCCAAATCGCCAACGCGCGCGGCCCCTGATGGGCCTGCCATAAGCGCAATACTCTGAAACTCTCTCGTGAAGCTGGCTTGATTTCCGCCGCGAAAGAGGATCGGGGTGCAGCCAGAGGAAAATTTGCAATGGATTCTCTTCCCTTCCAGGGATGTTTCGATGGAAGCAAAAGCGCTGAATATCACCTGCCATGGCGCCGAACTTGGTAGAAACACTCAACAACTCGAGGCCGCTACCGACAAACCCCTCGAGCCCAAGAGATTGAGAAGGATACCTCCTTGCTTTGGGCATTCTGCGAGCTCTAGTGTAGCCTTCACAAAGAGTCCCTATCCACGCACCTGTCACAAGTCCGGACGCGATCCACACTCGAAGAACATACCAAACTTCAGGAAAATAATGGTTGACGGATTCACCGTTTTTTACTTCCTATTCTATCGCGGCTTCTCATCGCGCACGAAGGTGCCGGTCTAGCTCGCCCGAGCCCGAGAAGACGTCGACAACCACTGAGTCTGGCGTCGGGGATGAGTCGTAGCAACATTTCGGCTACATCAAAATGCGAACCACAGAGATAATAAACATGTAGGTGGACGGATCAAGATTCGAAGGCGCAGCGCAGCGAGCCTTAACATCTTGTGTATATGTATGTAGATGTACATATATGTATGGAGGTGTGTGTGTGTGTGTTGTGCAGCCTACGTAGTGCAGTCTATGTGGTGCAATACATATGGTGCATGTACATATATATATAAATATACACATGCACATATATGTATTATGCACTCTATGTTGTGCTGGTGCAATCTATGTGGGGCAATCCATGTGGTGTAATTTACGTTGTGTAAATTATTCGGTGCAATCAATGTGGTGCACTCGATGTGGTGCAATCTATGTTGTGCAATCTTTGTGGTGCAATACATGTGGTGCAATCTATGTTGTGCAAGATAGATGTGATGCAATACATATCTTTATATATAGGTTGCAAACTATGCGGGGCAATCCATGTGGTGCCATCAATGTTGTGCGACGTGTGCGGTGCAATACATGTAGTGCAACCCACTCTGCTGAACTTGAAGTCGCCATCTCCACTGCTCGCGCAAACATCCCACCCACCCACCCGCAACTTGGTTTGCAAAACCTGTTAAGACCGACTACGACGACGCCGACGACAACGACTAGGACGACACCGACGACGTCTCCGACGACTTTGACGACGACAACGACGCCGACGCCGACGACGACGAAGACGACGACGACGCCAACGAAGGCGACGACGAGGGAGGAGGAAGGACGACGACGGCGACAACGACGACAACGACGACAACGACGAGTGAGGAGGGAGGACGGCGACGACGCGAACGACGACGAAGGAGGAAGGACGGCGACGCCGACGACGACAACGACGAGGGAGGCGGGAAGACGACGACGACAACGACGACGACGACGGCGACGAAATAGGAGGGACGACGACGAGACGCCGACGACGGACGACGACGACGTGGGAGGAGGAGGAAGGACGACCACGGCGACAACGACGACGGAAACGATCACGACGCCAAAGAGGACGACGACGACGAACACGAGAAAAGACAGAGGACGACGTAGGCGACGACGACGACGACGACGCGGGAGGAGGGAGGACGGCGACGACGACGACGACGACGCAAGAGCGCGCGCGCACGCTTTTGTTGAAAATCCGTGTTGCGAAACCTTGGTTTTTGTAGGTTTTTTGGACGAGAGATTTTGAAATCCTTCCGAAGCCGATGGGTTTTGAAGGTTTTCGGCATACGCCCGCGACGACGCGCGCGTCTGCACTTCGTCCCATTTTCTGCAAAGGATTCTCGCGACGGCACACGCGCAAGGGCGTTCGACAGATTTCGACATGCGCGCGCGAAGCCCGTTTGGTAGCATGTTGTGAAAATATTGAAAAACCTATGGTTTTCTTAAGATTTCGCAAGAGCTCGCGCAGAAGCTTTTTTAGCAAATCAGTGTTGCGAAACCATGTGTTTTTGTATGTTGTTTGGAAACTCGATTGCGAAATCCTTCCGGCACCGAAGGTTTTTGAATGATTTCCGCATGCGCGCGCGACGACGCGCGCGTGTGCACTTCGTCCCATTTTTTGCAAGGGATTCGTGAAAAAGTGCTACGCTAGAATAAAAAATGTCACCGCATAGTGTTTTTTACAAAGGAACCTCAGGGGGGGGAGCCCGGCCTGGCCGGGATGGTATGATTTCATATTTCGGATGGAGGAGTGTGCAGAACATATATGAAATTATACTATCCCAGGGGGAACGGATAAGGCCGGGGGGGGGGTAGAGTCTATTTCTCTTTTTAGCAAGGAGAATCAATCACTTGCCGAACTTGAAGTTGTCAACTCCACTGCTCGCGCAATCATCCCACCCACCCACCCGCAACTTAGTTTGCAAAACCTATGCGGGACCGAGCACAGATATCGCTCTGGGGTCGTCTTCGAGCCCTCGGGGGCGTCTCAAGAGCGCCCCAAGAAGGCCCGAGAAGCAAGACGGCCGACGACGACGAAGACGACGGCGACGACGACGGCGGCGATGACGACGACGCCGACGTCGACGACGACGAAGACGACGACAACGACGCCGACGACGACGACGAAGACGACGACGATGTCGCCACCGAAGACGACGACGAGGGAGGAGGGAGGACGACGACGGCAACGAGACGACAACGACGACAACGACAACGAGGGAGGAGGGAGGACGGCGACGACGCGAACGACGAAGAAGGAGGAAGGACGGCGACGCCGACGACGACAACGACGAAGGAGGCGGGAAGACGACGACGAGACGACGACGACAACGACGACGACGACGGCGACGAAATAGGAGGGACGACGACGAGACGCCGACGACGGACGACGACGACGACGACGGGGAGGAGGAGGAAGGACGACCACGGCGACAACGACGACGGAAACGACCACGACGCCAAAGAGGACGACGACGACGAACACGAGGAAAGACACAGGACGACGTAGGCGACGACGACGACGACGCGGGAGGAGGGAGGACGGCGACGACGACGACGACGACGACGACGCCGCAAGAGCGCGCGCGCACGCTTTTGTTGAAAATCCGTGTTGCGAAACCTTGGTTTTTGTAGGTTTTTTGGACGCGCGATTTTGAAATCCTTCCGAAACCGATGGATGGGTTTTGAAGGATTTCGGCGTACGGGCGCGACGACGCGCGCGTCTGCACTTCGTCCCATTTTTTGCAGAGGATTCTCGCGACGGCACACGCGCAAGGGCGTTCGACAGATTTCGACATGCGCGCGCGACGTCCGTTTGGTAGCATGTTGTAAAAATCTTGAAAACCAATGGTTTTCTTAAGATTTCGCAAGAGCTCGCGCGTAAGATTTTTTAGCAAATCAGTATTACGAAACCCTGTGTTTTCGTAGGTTGTTTGGAAACTCGATTGCGAAATCCTTCCGGCACCGAAGGTTTTTGAAGAATTTCGGCATGCGCACGCGACGACGCGCGCGTGTGCACTTCGTCAATTTGTGTGTAAGGGATTCGTGAAAAAGTGTTATGTTAGAACAAACAATGTCACCGCATAGTGTCTTTTTTACAAGGGAACCTCAGGGGGGTCGATACCGGCCCCCCTGGGATAGTGTAAATTCATATTTCGGATGGACATGTTGTCATAATCATGTATGGTTTACATACCCGAAAGGGGTAGCAAAAACTCCGAGGGGGGTAGAGTCTATCCTATTTTAAGAAAGGAGAATCTACGTTGTGCAACCCATGTTGTGCAATCCACGCTGCACAATCTATGCGGTGCAATCTGTGTTCTGCATTACATGTTGCACAATCTATGCGGTGCAACCTATGTCAGGCGGCGACGAGGCGGCGACGGGGAAGCGACAGCGACAACATATGGTAGAGTAGCCGACAGACGGCCACACTGGCCCAGACAGTGGGCGGCGACGAGGCGGCGACGGGGCGGCGACGGCGGCAACATAGCCGCCAGAGCGGCACACCGACCCAGACAACGGGCGGCGACGAGGCGGCGACGGGGCGGCGACGCGGCAACAGAGTCGCCAGAGCGGCACACCAGCCCAACTCCTTAGAACAGAACAGAAATAAGAAGCTCTAAGTGCAAGCACTGGTTGGGGAATCTGCGAGGCGCTGCGCCATTCCTGGGAGACGCAGGCGGAGAATGCGACAGAGACTGGAGGTGAAGTAATCGGCATGGCGCGAAACGTGCAACAATCCTCGAAGAACAGGTCGAAAGAGAACTCTCCGACAGGGTTTCTCGGCGCCTCCGCACTCCCCTGCCACGGGCAAAGGCTGGAACGAGCACGCAACCAAATGTTGCAAGAAGCAGGAATCGGAAGCCTGCCAGGCCCGTCCCAAGATGCTGCTGCCTGTAACCCAGGCGCCAACAATGCAAGTGCAACGGCCCACAAAGCGACTGGTGCTGGAATGATGCCGTGCGCGCGGCCGATGCGCTGCACGCCGTCACGCTCTGCTTGCAACATCCGCGATCGTTGCCAGACCTGGCTGCCACGTCTGCATGAGCAACTGGCTGAACCAAAGAAATACAATGAACACGTATCTTAAGGATGGGTGGCAAGGGCACAAGATCCTTGGAGGCCGAAGTTGGGATTGCTGGGCGACGGGCGACCAGTGAAAACGGCAAAGGACGGGCCGCAGTGGCAAGGATGCAAGGGTGCCCTAGAAAAGGGGCGCGTCCTTACTATGCGCGTTGACTGTGGTCTCAAAAGAGTACACAAGCAAAAGGCCTGAAGGCCTGCTGCCAGTTGCAGCACACAGAACTCTGGTCACACGGCATCGGTAGAACCGATCACACAAGACCGACGATGCCCACTCCATCCGCCGCGAAGCAGTCGGCACAAGGCGATCGGAGCGCAACGCGAACGCAGACAGAACATCTCGATCAGCGCAGGTCGATGATCTACAGTACACACACGCACGATATGCGAGTTTACACCGAGTGTAAGAAATCGTGCGACTGGCCTGCATACTTACGCGCCAACGTAGGCAACAAAACATATTTCATGTGACGACAGTCGACCTGCGAAATATGCTACGACATACGCGCTGTGCAGATGCGCGTCTTCGTGTAGACGCGCGTGGAAGGTACGCTGCGTTCGTATAAATGCACAAACCATACCTACCATGTACGGATGCATGTGTGCAAGACTGCATTGGCGCTTCGAGCAACGCACATTGGTTCTTCGGCTTCGGACCGCGAATGGAATGCGAGAGAGATGAATCAAGACAAACAGCGATACCTCCCTCCGTGTCGCCTTTTCTGCCGTAGTCGCTTTAGTGCGTGATCATCCTTCTCGTTCCCTCATGTGTCCTCGTTATGCTCCCACATCTCGCCTTACTCTGCGAACACTTCCCCGTGTTCCTCATTTGTGCCCCAACATGTCTCAACCAACCTGAAATGCTGAATTCTCGTTTTGAATGCGCAACGCCAGGTGTCCCACCTCACCTCCCGCTCTCCCCACCCTCCTCCCTTCTCCCTGCCTCTGCCCTCCACGCCATGTTCTTCTCCTCCTCCTCCCCCTTCTCCTTCCTCCCCCTTCTCCCCTCTCCCCCTTCTCCCCACTCCCTCATTCTCCCCATTCTCCCCCTCCCCCCATTCTCCCCCATTCTCCCTCCTCCCCTTCTGCCTCTGCCCTACTCCTTCTTTTCCCTCCTCCGTGTCTCAGCTTCGGCACCCCCATCCCACGTTTCGCGGCACCATCAGAGCTCCACGGAAGGCCTTAATGGCAAGGTCCGCAGGCCTGACCATGACCATTTCGTGACCCTATGATGGAAGGCCCAAATGGCAATGTACATATGCTTGACCACGGCCATTTGGCACACCCCTTCACGTTTCGTGGCGCCGTAGGAGCTTCACAGAAGGCCCAAATGGTACGGTCCGTATGTCTGACCACATCCATTTTGGCCCACGCGCTCCGCGGCCCAGTTGGAGCCCCACGAACGGCCAAACTGGCAAGGTCCGTATGCCTGACCAACGCCCGTTCTGACACACCCCTCACGCCCCGTATGGGGTTCCATGGAAGGCCTCAATGACAGGGTCCGTATGCTCGGTCACATCCTGCTACATCCCTCAGGCGCTTCGCTGCCCCATAGGAGCTCCACAGAAGGCCCACATGGCAGGGCCTGTATGCTCGACCGCGCCCATGCTGACACCCCAGGAATTTATCTTGACAAGGTACTCCGATGCCTGCCGAAGAAGCACGAAGCACGAAGTGAGGGGGGGGGCGTAGGGAAGGGGGTCCTGCTCGAGGCTCACATTCGGGCCCCAAGAGCCCAACCGTGGCGACGGTCACAGGGTTCGAGTGGCCCCTCGGATTCGTAACATGAACTGCGGGGGTGGCATAGGGATGGAGCTCCTGCTCGGCACTTCCTCGCAACTCACTCACAGCCGAGGCTCCCGATCGAGGCTTCCTCCAAATCTCAGCCTGGAGAGCCCACACGCGACGACCGATACAAGGTTCGGGTGCCCCCCCCGCCCCTCGGAATCGTAACATGGAGTGGGGGCCAGAAGGGAGGGGTGCTCCGCTCGATAATCCCTCGCAACTCACTCCTCTCCCGTTCGAAACGTCCCCCTACCTTCGAACCTCAAGAGCCCGCACATGACGACGGCTGCAACGTTCGAAAACCATCAGATGCGTAACTTGAAACGTGGGGCCCATCGGCAATGGGGTCCCGCTCGATACTTCCTCGCCGCTCATTCACCGACGAGGCTCCCACTCGTGGCACCCTCCATTTTCAAGCCTGGCACACCCACACGTGACGACAACTAAAAGTTCTGATGGCCTCCTGAGGTTCATGGGGGCCCGAATGGAAGGGGCTCCCGCTCGATACCCCCTCGCAGCACGCACACAGACGAGGCCCCCGCTCGAGAGTTCATCCATACTCAAGCCTCAGGAGCCCAAACGCGAGGCCAATTACATGGTTCAGGCGACCCCCTCAGATCTCAGATTCGTAACATGAAGCGGGGGGGGCACAGGGAATGGGGGTCCCACTCGATACTTCCTCGCAACTCGCTCACAGACGAGGCTCCCGCTGTATACTTCATCCATATTCTGACCTCAAGGGCCCAAGCGTGACGACAGTTACAGGTCTCAAACGACCCCCAGAGACTCGTACCATGATTCGGGGGGGGGGGGCTATATATAAATATATATATATATATATATATATATAATATATATATGGGGGGTCCTGGCCGATACTTCCTCGCAACTCACTCAACGACGAGGTTCCCCCATCGAGACTTCCTCAATGTGAGCGTGTGATTCTGAATGTATGAATACATGTCTGAGCGCGCGAATTGAATGTGTGAGTGTATGAATAATGACGCTGATGACGACAATGACGATTAGGATGATGATGGTGGTGATGATGGTGATGAATATGACAATGATGGTGATGGTGGTGATGCTGATGTTGTTGATGATGGTGGTGATGATGACGCTGGTGCTGGTGGTGATGGAAATTATGGTCACGATGATGATGCTGATGCTGCTAATGCTGATGCTGATGCTGCTGATGATGATGATGATGAGGATGGTGATGGTGATAATGATAACTATGATGATGATGAGGATGATGATGATGAGGATGCTGGTGATGATGATGAGGACGACGATGATGATGATGATGATGATGATGATGATGATGATGATGATGATGATGACAACGACGCTCGTGACTATGATGTGTGCGCAAGTGTGTGAATATCGAGATGTGAGGTGCTCAGAGACAACAATAAATCCACTTTGGATGTGGTGAACGACCGTATGCACAGATTGTAAATGTATCTGTGTATACATCCCTCGCTCTCGCTCTCTCTTTCTATCAGTCTCTTGCTCTCGATCATTATATATCCCTCTCTCTCTCATTCGTTTTGTTTTCCTCTCTCTACATATATACACACCACGGTACAGATGGCGGCACCAAATGACAATCGCTGGTCGAAACCACCACAATCGGTGAAAACAGGAACAGCTAGAGTGGGTACGTAGAGCGCTTGCCAAAAAACTGCCAGAAGAGTGAGGAGGGGACGAGGAGGAGGACGAGGAAAAGGAGGACAAGGAGGAGGAGGACGAGGAGGAGGAAGAGGAGGAGGAAGGAAAAGGACTGACCGAGCTCGAAAATTAACGGAGAATCGGAGAATGTCACCTGCACTCTCGGGGGGTGTCCGGGCAATTCCGCGGCGATCCTTTTATTCGAGTGGATTCAAATTAGACCTCTACAGTGTCGATCTATCGCAGCAGAGCCACCCCACTCCAGATCTGCAAAAACAGCCAATAAGTAGCGAACGGGGGGGAGAGGGGCGGCGGCAGAGGGGAAGAGATGGGCAATAGGAGGAATGCGAAATATTCTATCAAGATGTGAATGGGGGGTCAACATGCGTGGGTACATGTTTGCATACACATATATATATACACATATACATATATAACGGGTATTCATCCATCATTGTGCGGTTGCTGAAACACCCCCCTTCCCGCCGGAAACTTGGGCGCGACGCCGTAGCCAACCAAAGACGCGTCCTTGGCCCTCACGAGGTTCACCGTGTAGCCACGGTTGCCCTCGCTGGGGCCGGCGTGTAATCATCGGAAGCGGAGGAGAATAGGAAGGGGTAGCAGATCAGAAAGCCTTCGCGTAGACGCCGAAACATATACCGTCGCGGCGACGTGGGGCACAACGCGGTCGGACCAAAGCAAGACGCGGGCTGGCTAACGGTGCGCCCGGGCGAGAAGGATTAAATAGGTGGCGACACCCGAACCCTGCCACCACAAACCATCGATTATTTGGAATCGATTAGAGGCGGGCGTATGCTTAGGTCGGGCGTGTCCCCCTACAGGCGGATTTTGGACGAAAAATAAGACATGCCAGAATCATCCTGGCGAAGGACCCAACCATATGCAGTTGTGGGCACCGCAATTGTGAATATCTTCTTCGGTGAAGCTCCCTATGGGGCCACGAAGCGCTAGAGCGGGTGGGGGGGAACGCATGCGGGCGGTAGCACTGGGGCCCTCGGTGGAGCTCCATATGGGGCCACGAAGCACTGCGTTGGGTGGGTGAAAATGCCAAGTTGGGTGCGTCGGACGCACGCGGGCGGTCCCACTGGGGGCTTCGGCGAAGCTCCCTACGAGGCCACGAAGCGCTGTGCTGGGCGGGGGGGGAACGCACGCGGGCGGTCCCACTGGGGCCGTCGGTGGAGCTCCCTACGGGGCCACGAAGCGCTGCGCTGGGTGGGTGAAAACGCCAAATTGGGTGCGCGGAGCGAATGCGGACGGTCCCACTGGGGGCTTCGGTGGAGCTCCCTCCGGGGCCACGAAACGCTGTACTGGGTAATTGAAAATAGCAAATTGGGCTTCCGGGACGCATGCAGACGGTCCCACAAGGACCGTTTTGTTGCTTAGCTGCGCCCTCGGCTCGCGCGGCGCGAGCTCGGTCCTGGGGTGACCCCAGGGCGTGCGCTGTCACCAGGGGCGCCCGCGCGGGGCACCCACCTGGCCGTGCCAGCCCCAAACGAGGCCAGACCACCGAAGACACTCCCCTTGACACCGCCGCTACCGCAGAGGCCGAGGCTGACGAATGCTCGGCTTGCTCTACTGAGGTCTGCGGCATCACCTGGGGCACCCCCGCGGGGCACCCTCCCTGCGCCACCCTCCAAAGAGGGCAGCCCACCGAAGCCACTCCCTCAGGAGCAAAGGCGGAGGGAGCCACCAGGCGCAAGGCGCGCCACCCGCGAGCGCGGGCTAAAAGGCGCTGGCAGGCCTTCAGCTCGCAGGTATCTGCCGAAGCTGCACGCTGAGCCGAGGTTCGTAGTCAGCCGCCTGGCGAAGGAGGCCGTCGGCCACCAAGAAGACCTCCTCAGGGCCGACCACCGAGGCCGCAGCTCCACCAACAGCAGGCGCCACCACCGCGAGCGCCACACCCAGCTCCGCCGCCGCCTTCGCCCGACGACGCCTGGGCCCGCGCCGCCGCCGCGCGGCACCGTCGGCCTGGCCGTCGCACCCGAGGCCGCACCCCGCAGCACCAGCAGCTCCTCCAGCTCCGTGAGCTGGATCCGCCGCCTCCGCCGCGGCAGCGGCCCCGTCCGAGGGAGGCGGGCGGGCCTCCGCTGAGGCCGCCACCGCCCCACCATCGGGGAATCGCACGAGCCCGTCGGCCCATGCGTCGTCGAATTCTTCCATCTCCGCCTCGGCAGCCTCCGCCTCCACAGCGGCCACGGGGGCGAGCGCGAGGCCCGCACCAGCAGCGGCAGCAGCGGCTCCAGCAGCCCGCCCAGCACCCCCGCCTGCGGCTGCAGGGGGCGCCGCGGCGGCCTTCCGCGCCGCGCGGCGCTGTCGGCGGCGCCGACGCCGAGCTGCGAGCGCCGTCAGGTCGGCCGCAGCAGCATTTGCGCGGCCCGGAACACCAGGACGAGGAACAGGAGGTGGCGCCCCGGCGCCAGCGGCGGCGGCGGGCGGTGGCGGCGCCGCGACGGCGAAGGCCGCCGCCGAGACCGCTGACCGCGCAACCGCCGCCACGGTGCGCCTCGGCGCCCCGAGCGCCCGGCGCACCGCCGCCTCGACGAGGCGGGCAGCCGTCACGGGATCCAGAGCCCGTCTGGGCAGCGCCATCAGACGGACCGTGGCGCGGCCGTGCGAACGCTTGAGCCAAGATTGCTTGAGCCAAAATGGCTACGGAGTCCCACTGGGGCCGTCGGTGGAGCTCCATATGGTGCCACGAAGCGCTGTACTGTGTGGGGTGAAACGCAGGGAGGAGGAGGAGGGGGAGGAGGGGGAGGGAGGAAGGAGGGAGGAGAAACGCGGGGACCATCTCTTCAAAACGAGGACCCAACACCACAGGATGGTTGGGAAAACTATTCAAAAATACTCTCAAAAAATTGCCCCCTGACTGTTTCTTTAACTGTCTCTGAATACTCCTCCTGTCGAGGGACAGGCCCGACTTGAGCGTGGGCTTCGGAGTTCGCCGCGTGCTCGAGGCACTCCGGCCCCTGCCTCCGCCGCCCCCCGAGCTGCCTGCAACTGCTGATCGGCGAGGGCAGGGCTCCCCAGACCTCCGACGTCGCACTTTGCTCGCAGCGTCCATCCCCAGACTCAGGCCGGGCATGCCCCCTGCAGAGGGGTTCTGGACGAAAGATAACAAATCCTCCACAAATATCCAACAAAAAAGCAAAACTACGAATAAAATCGTTCCCAGACTATTTTTTGACTCTTTTTGAATATTCCTCCTGTGGAGGGGCAGGCCCGACTTAACCCCAGAGGTTTGGACCCCTTCCCCGGGACCGGCTTTTCGTCCCGAGTCGTTTGGTTGACGGTCCCGCGCGGCCCAGTAAGGGCCCCCGTAGGCCGAAGACAGCGCAAGACCTCCCGGCGTGATTCTTGCACAGCGCAAGGAGGGCTGGGTCGGATGTCGCCGAAGGACGGCGGCCGCGGGGCGGGGGGCAGCGAGGGGCGGGAGGCACGCTCCGCACACGCCGGAGTGACTCCACGTGCGGAGCTGGCGGCCTCCGGCTCCGCCGGGGCGGGAACGCCAAGAAGAGAGACGGTGGCAAAGGCGCCCTGCCATTCCCGGGGGCCGCCTCGGAGAGCCTGCCGGGGCACCCAAGTCAAGGAGGGACAGAGAATCACAGCCATCTTGTTTGTTGCTGCTGTTGATGTTTATTATTCGACTCGTTTTCATTCCTCTGTTAATTAAAGCTGTGCGCGGCCCGCTTAGCTTCGACCGGAACAGGCTCGCTCTCGACCAGCGAATCAAAAAAAGTTGATCCTTCGACTCCTGGGGAATCGAGCGGCCGACCTGCTGCGGGCAGCCCTCGCCGGCGAGCCTCGAGAGAGCTTTCGCTTGGGCACAGAAGCCCTGCCGTCGCTCGGACGTCCATTCCCCGCGCATTTCTCGGTTTCGTGCGTGGTTATTTTTTTTGTTTCGCCAAATGGCCCACTGTGCTCCTCGATGGCCCTCGCCGAAGGAAAAGATGCACACGTCCGAGCGATGCCAAGAGAAGCAGAGACGAGCCCCGCGGGTGCCGGACGGTGGCCGAGGCGCCCGCGGAGGCGCGCTGCCGTTCGCGCTGCCGTCTTAGGGGGGGGGCCTCTCCAGGGGTCCCCCCCGTCCAGGCAGCATCAACAACAGCAGCATCAGCATCACCATCCTTATCGATATCAGCATCCACATTCTGACCGTGATCATAATCATAACCATCGCCATCACCATCAGCGTCATCATCATCGTCGTCATCATCATCAATATCATCATCAACATCATCATCATCGTCAACATCACCGTCAACAACATCATCATTATAAACACAACCATTAACATTATCATCATCATCATCATCATCATCATCATCATCCTCGTCGTCGTCATCACCACCACCACCGTTATCACCGTTATCATCATCATCATCACCATCACCATCACCATCACCATCCTCATCATCACCACAATCACCATCAGTATCATCATCGTCATCAGCATCAGCATCATCATCATCATCATCAGCAGCGTCATCATCGCCACCACCATCATCAGCATCGACATCAGTATCAGTATCAGTATCAATATCAATATCAGTATCATCATCGTCAGCATCATCATCAGCAGCATCATCAACATTACCATCGCCATCACCAGCATCAGCATCGTCATCGTCATCATCATCACCACCATCATCATCACCACAATCATCAACAACAACATCATCATCATCATCGTCGTCGTCGTCGTCATCACCACCGCCACAATCATCAGCATCAGCATCGTCATGATCATCACTATCATCATCACAATCATCATCATCACCATCATCACTTGTTTCATCATAACCATCCTCATCAGCATCGTAAGCATCATCAGTATCATCGTCATCGTCAGCAGCATCATCGGCACCACCATCAAACATCATCGACATCAGAATCAGTATCAGTATCAGTATCAATACCAGTATCATCATCATCATCATCATCATCATCATCATCATCATCATCGTCAGCATCATCATCAGCAGCATCATCACCATCTCCATTGCCATCACCATCATCATCATCGTCATCATCATTACCACCATCATCATTACCACCATCATCAACAACAACATCATCATCGTCGTCGTCATCACCACCATCACGATCAGCAGCATTATCATCACCATCATCATCACCATCACCATCAACACAATCACCACTTGTTTCATCGTAACCATCATCATCAGCATCGTAAGCATCACCTGTATCATCGTCATCAGCAGCGTCATCATCACCATCACCATCACCATCATCAGCATCGTCATCATCATCATCATCAACAGCATCATCATGTTCATCACTACTAATCACCTCCATCACCATCACTATCATCCCACACCTACTCCTTATCGTCATCAAACTCGATCTCCGTGTAATCATCACCAAACTAATCCTCACAACCTCTTGTCTTCATTATCCTCCTCCTCATCATCTTCATGGTAATGAGCCTTCTCGTCATCATCATCAACACCATCATCACCATCATCAACATCATCATCACCATCATCGTCGTTCGTCGTCGTCAAACAGCTGTCAGATTAAGAACCCCTCCCCCTCTTCTTCATCATCATCAATATCAGCATCAACATCAGCATCATCAACATCATCATCAGCAGCATCATCATTATCATCATCAGCAGCAACATCATCCTCATCATCCGCATCATTGCTGCCACCGTCATAACTATCACCATCATCCTCATCATC